TCCGAACAGTTTTGACACACTTCCGTGGGGGCATTACAGTATCTTATAATAGCGTTTTTTTCTTTTTTGTTATAGATGAATGCCCCAACATTATCAGAGTTAGCTGTTAGAAAAATTTGCGAATCAATAACATCATCAGCAGTAGAATTCATGGAGCAGTCTCCACTACCATGGAAATTAACTACGGAAATTGTGAAACAATTTCCTTTATATAAATGGCACGCTATGATTAAAGAAGCCAAAAATGATCTTGATTCTTCATATACAGGAATTAACTTTATTAGATGTCACAAAGAAATAGATCCAAATTTAATTCATACTATATTAGGAAAATCAGATTGGGGTTATGTTTTTGAAGATTATTCTAGTTACTGTCTATGGTCAAGTGGATATTGGCTGGACCAATATTACCTACACGTATGTAAAAATTGTTTATCTAAATTTAAAGAAATACATAAAACTTTAAATAAACGTTTATTTGCCTGCTATGACCATTCTCACGAGGTTCACGATGCACGTGACATTATTTTGAACGTATACCAAAAAAGTATAATTGGTGTCACAGCTGCTTTAAAAGCGTAGTGTTTGAACTAAAAGACCAGGAATCTTGCAGAGATGCCTTACATGATATGTCTAGAAATAACATCCGAATCCGATTTGATGAATCTGATGTAAACAGCGATATTGAGTTTTAAAAAAAACATCACAGCAAACAAATTACAAAAAAATATATAAAAAGCGTTCATTCGTCCTCCCGCCCCCCAGTTTCTCTCTATCTATTGTACTAACATTTATATATATATATATTTTTTTTAAAAACATGTATGTAGTACTAACATTTCTATATTATTTTTTTTTCAAACATGTATGTAATTAGATTTAATAAATGAATATTCATAAAAAATGTTTTATTGATTTCGTTAGATTTTTCTAGTAAGAAGAGTTCACAACAAGATGTCCTGATAGCTTGAGTCGTCAGAGGTGTGCAACATTAGAAGCAATGTAGTGCGTGGTTGGGGTTCAAAACTAGCGTGTTCAAAACAAAAAAAAACACGCCACACCATAATACTAACATTACTTCTGATGTGTGTGTACCTCTGGCGCGGTTCTTTCGGGCTATCAAGACATCTTTATGGTATTTTTGAACAAAGTGTGCACGTCACGTGTCACGTATCACGTCACGTGTGTCACGTATCACGTCACGTGCGTCACGTGTCACGTCCACGTGCGTCACGTATCACGTCACGTGCGTCACGTGTCACGTCACGTGCGTCACGTGTCACGTCACGTACGTCACGTGTCACGTCACGTCACGTGTC